CCTTGAAAGAAGTTCAAGGAGGCGTTTTTGAGATTCAACTATGGCCCAGCATGACTCCAGCGAAGATAGTGGCGGACCCAGGAGGGTAGGGATCAGATCTGATGGGAGTGTAAAGAGGTGAACAAGTGTAAAACGTTGAGAGGGTGGTGGAGGCGCATGTGGAGTCGGTGCGCGACAGCCCTGACGAACAAAAAGATAAAGATAATATTAAGTACAGGCGCAATGAAGTTAAGCTTTAATTGCAAATTTGGGTATGTTTCCCAAGGACTAAAATGCTGAATAAATCGAAGCCCCCCCCCCCCCTTTCTTACAACATAAACAAAATAAAAAGTTAATTAAATTGAACAAAAAACCCAATAGTACGTAAAAGTCATTCAGCACAGCAGCCTGAACACTATCATTTCGCCTTCTCCTTGTATCGCAAGAATGATTATAAGCACGTATATTTCTCTCTCTCTCTCTCTCTCTCTCTCTCTCTCTCTCTCTCTCTCTCTCTCTCTCTCTCTCTCTCTATCCACCAATCAATCTATCTATCTATCTATCTATCTATCTATCTATCTATCTATCTATCTATCTATCTCGGTAGTCTCTACGTTCTCCAACGTTAGAGAATGAATACTAGCTATCTACGTTCTCCAATATGTAGTAAAGAACCTAAAAATAGCTCGCTTGCTCTGTATATCGCTGAAGATCCTATCTTGATCACGATGTTTTACATGAATGTATCATTGAAAAGAGCTGACAATGCTGCTTCCACAGTGCTTACGCTTTATTTTGGCAAGCTATTTACTTTCGCCAAAGAGCTCTTTCTAGCCAAACTAAAACGCTCGCGAAAGTAAAGCGGTCTACGGTGTCTTGTCTTTAGAACATATTATTCTTTCATCCCATCGGGATGCCCTCCCCCCCTCCTTTTTTCACTAAATTTTGACACCATGCACACAATACCAATATGGGCGATTGTTAAGATTCCCGCGTTTAATTCCGATGTGCGTTTTTCATACCCTCAGGCATATTTCGCTTTGGTCCCTAACCCTAACCCTAACCCTAACCCTAACCTTAACCCTAACCCTAACCCTAACCCTAACCTTAACCTAGGGTTAGGGACCAAAGTGAAATATGCCTGAGGGTATGAAAAACGCACATCGGAATTAAACGCGGGAATCTTAACAATCTCCCAAATATGTTGTACACTTTTCACTCAAGGAAGGAGCACTCTGAGCACGCCCCCAAAACTTTTTACATAATATAAGTCATTGAAGATCAGGCCTTCTGTATTCAAATTTAGTAGATATAAGGTAAGATAGCTTGCAGTTCACATGACCCGATTTCGAATTCCCACCTCGGCATGCGATACAACGTGAGGGACCATAAATGATATCAAATTCAAATGTGTGGGAAAACATCGCCGATTTGGTGCGTGATGTGACATCACTGCGATGAAATCAAGTCACTTGGGTCAAGGTCAAGTCAGTTATATCAACACTAGGTTTACGGTCGTGTATGACCCTCAGGGCTGTTTTGATTTCATGAAACATTTACATCAAATCCTCAGTCACCCGCACCTAACCCAACGCCTACCTAACCCCTCTTAGTCTTATCTACATTACCAACTGATAATGAAATAAAAAATACCCCAATATAATCCAGTTGAGTAAACTGAGGGACCTATAATGTTGATTTAACGACAAAACATGACAAAACATGACAAAACATGACGCAAACCAATTTGGGGAAAAGTAGCCTCCAGCCACGCCAGCCACGCCAGCCACGCCAGCCTCATCCTGAAGTCAAAATACCGGCCTCTTACTAGATCTATTTTTATTTTTGATTCGTTAGAGAACGTAGAAACTTCCAAATTATATCTCCCTTAATAAATTAATAGGCCTATGTGTTTTTGTATTTATAATAAACATTTTAATTCATATACATGTATACAGTTATATAATATACATTTTACACAGTATGACACAAAATGTATGCTGTGTGACCACTCCCCCCCCCCCCCCCCCTTGCGTTTTTCCATATTATACATGTAATGATATATATGAGTTAAGTTATGACACTTTAAAAAAATAAGGAACTGTCTACGTTCTCTAACGTTAAAGAACGTATACAAACTGTCTACGTTCTCTAACGTTAAAGAACGTATACAAACTGTCTACGTTCTCTAACGTTAAAGAACGTATACAAACTGTCTACGTTCTCTAACGTTCAGTGCTTCCAATTTTCCGCCTTTTTTAAAAAGTTTCCTCCTGACCTCATCTGCCGATCCATGCCCGCCGCCTCATTGATATCCCCCCCTCCCCCCGCCCCATCCCCATGTTTCCGACTTTCTCACTTTCTTTTTTGTAGAAGAAGAAAACTTGATGTCATCATCTTGACCTATGTTGTTGCCTTTCCTGAAACAGTGCTGTATATATTTTATAAGCTTAATCTACCTCTGGTCGCTGTATGTTCTGATAGCCGAATGGTCAGCGTGTCTGCGCTTGAAGTGTATGAGTGTGGGTTCGAATCCCGGTCCCGAAGTTGTTTGTTTGTTTTTTGTTGTTGTTGTTGTTTTTTGGGGTTTTTTGTTTTTGGGGGGGGGGGGGTTCTTCTTCTTCTCCTCCTCCCGACTGACCAACAATTTTCCTCATAACTATAATTTGTTGTTTTGTAATTTCTTATGTTGTGATGAAGCATGCAAATTCTGGTTTTGTCTCCAAGAGGAGCTTTTATCTACTAAGTATAGCCGGCCTACTCTTCCTTTTACCAATTTACGCCTGGTTAAAGTACATTTTCAACAGTGGCTTTTCTTGGTATTTGAGTCTAATTTAAAAAAAATAATTAGAATCAGAGAGGTCAAATCTTAGCTCTTCGAATCAGTTGCAAATGTTCTTTATCCAGGGCCCTCCCGGCCCTCAGACCCCTGCCAATTATTATTCGTCCTGGTTGGGGGTCCGGGGGCAAATTGTTGGTCAGTAAGGAGAAGGAGAGGGGAAAAAAACAACAACCCCTCCCCCCCCCCCCAAAAAAAAAAAAGTTTCCGAGACCGGGATTCGATGCCACGCTTGGAAGCACTGAGCATTATTAGAGAACGTAGACAGCTAGCTCGTATACGTCTCTAACGTTAGAGAACGTAGACACTACCCAAAAATAAAATAAATAAAGACTTGAAAAAAAATATTTTAAAAAATACATCAACCATATTTTTTATCACCCAAAAAACTTTCCCAAAACGACCACGGAAACCTGTCATCACCTGGTGTGTTGACATAATAAAATAAATGCCGGTCCTTTAACGTGTGGACGAACTGTCATCGCAATCCATTTACCTGTCGTTTCTATATTTATTTAGCCCTTCTGCAGTTGACCAGAGGTTGCGAAGGCGAGGCAGATAGCTGAGGTAGCCCTTCTCCCATTGTTTACTCAAGTGGATCGGCAGATCACAAATAATTATAATAACACCCCATTGTAATTTCAGCTGCCGATGAGTGAGGCAAGTGAACGAACCGTAAACAAAACACAATGTTAATATTACGAAGTGGCTAGCCGTACTAAAGACTGCCAGTCTAGCTGCACTTAGATAGATCTAGGATCTAGGTTTGGCCCTATCGACTCGAACCTGTTGAGTACACAGGTCTCATTAGATCTAGATCTAGTAATTATTCAGGTTTAAATCATGCAAGTCAGTAAGGCTCCTTTTGGTTTTGTCTGAAATACAAATACTTTAGGCTCTGCAAACTAAAAATAGCATTTACAATTCAGCCATCAAGTACGCCTTGCCAAGGCTAGCCAAGAAGTCTAGCATTACGGCTAGTCAGCCAGTCTAGCCGTACTTATCTTAGGCCCCATTAACATTAGAAAGCAGGAGGTTTAAAATACATGCACTGTCATTAAGGCACCCGGTTTCGTCTCAAATACAAATACTTTAGGTCCTCCCTACTGCACACTAAAATTTTTTACAATTCAGTAGGCCTTTTTTATGGTCAGTCTGGCCGTCATATTAAGAACAAGTACGGCTAGCCCAGCTGTCTGGCCGTCATATTAAGAACAAGTACGGCTAGCCCAGCTGTCTTGCCGTCATATTTAGAATAAGTACGGCTAGCCCAGCTGTATGGCCGTCATATTAAGAATAAGTACGGCTAGCCCAGCTGTCTGGCCGTCATATTAAGAATAAGTACAGCTAGCCCAGCTGTCTGGCCGCCATATCAAGAATAAGTACGGCTAGCCCAGCTGTCTGGCCGTCATATTAAGAATAAGTACGGCTAGCCCAGCTGTCTGGCCGTCATATAAAGAATAAGTACGGCTAGCCCAGCTGTCTGGCCGTCATATTAAGAATAAGTACGGCTAGCCCAGCTGTCTGGCCGTCATATTAAGAATAAGTACGGCTAGCCCAGCTGTCTGGCCGTCATATTAAGAATAAGTACGGCTAGCCCAGCTGTCTGGCCGTCATATTAAGAATAAGTACGGCTAGCCCAGCTGTCTGGCCGTCATATTAAGAATAAGTACGGCTAGCCCAGCTGTCTGGCCGTCATATTAAGAATAAGTACGGCTAGCCCAGCTGTCTGGCCGTCATATTAAGAATAAGTACAGCTAGCCCAGCTGTCTGGCCGTCATATTAAGAATAAGTACAGCTAGCCCAGCTGTCTGGCCGTCATATTAAGAATAAGTACGGCTAGCCCAGCTGTCTGGCCGTCATATTAAGAATAAGTACGGCTAGCCCAGCTGTCTGGCCGTCATATTAAGAACAAGTACGGCTAGCCCAGCTGTGTTG